ATTGGCTATTTGAGTTATCAGCTGTGGTATGGAAGGCTTCTTACATGAGCCACTTATATAAATCAAACACAAAACATATCTACTTCCTCATATCATGATCCCTAATGCAAAAGATACAACATGCTGCACTGGGTTCACCATAATGTCATTTATAATGCAGTGCTGATGTTGGAAGCACTACAGAATAAATGATCAGTAATTCACGGAGCGCAGCATCCAGAATGTCTTGTTTGTGAAGATTAGAACTCTGCTGAAATGAAATTTGAACATGAATTCTGTCCATTAGCAAAACACTGGACAAAACAGTTAAAAAAACTCACACTCCACTCTCTTCTCCAGCATGGCTAGGCGATTTGTCACCTCAGTCTTCAGTTCGTTGATTTTAAATGCCCTTGGAGAGAAGATGGAGAGAAATATACAAAGATCATTCATCCTTACAATACCAAAAGGTATTCAAAATTAAATCAAAAGAAGGTCATTATGAATTAGCTGAGAGATTGAACATAAAATACAGAAGCAGAGACGGTGATAATACCTGGAGAACTGCTCTGCTACCTGGGTCAAAACATTCTGGAAAAGCTCCTCTTTATCTGAGAGATGAGAAAACAAGCCACATCCATAATCATGGCCAAACACTGATGTATGAAGTGTTTCACATATCTGTGTTTCCTCCTGTCAGCCTAAATAAAATAAGCAGTAAAGATGTACAATGAATAAAGCACTCTACAACAAGCAGTATAAATAAATAAATGGAGGGCGGACAAGACTGAATATGAAGATGAAGAAACAAATCCCAGTTTTCTTGATAATTTCACCTGCTCTTGTATCAGAGAAACTGTGACTTCTTACACAATCTTGACAGCTACAATTACATAGAGTGAGACCTGATAAACATTCACACTTTCAAATGTAGCTCCACTCACTGTCTTGGCCAAAGTTCAGCCTAATAAAAGGACCTGAGACACAATAACGTCCTATTGGCTGGCAGTCATTGCAGCTCGAGGTTTGGCAGGTTAGCGTAGTCACTGATGGTAAACTGACATTAAATTGATCAAAAGTGACAGCAAAGACATTAATGATGTTACAAAAATCAGCATATTAGAATGATTTCTGAAGGATCATGTGACA